TCCAGCCGTCGAACTTGCGGGTAAGTGTAGCCAAGGCCTGAGAATCAGGCCCCTTTTCTTCATAACCCTTTAAATTGTCTAGCACATTTGTAGGTGCCATGTGCATTTGATAATAAAAATAATAACTCCAAAAACCTGGTGTCTGGCTCCTTAGCTGTAATTATTTCTCTTTCCCCTCCAGTGAAATGAAATGGAATTAAACAAGCAGGATTCAATTTAGTAATGGAATCAATAGTACTTGCTAAAGCAGAGTTAAGAGAAGAAGTCCTGACAGACAATGCACAGAGCTGACAGTAGTGCTACCTGTGTAGTTTCTCCAAATTAGCAATCTGGCCAATATCCCGTACAAAATAAATTTGATTCGCGCCAAGGAAAATTAGCACACTCCCCTCGAGCATGGCACTTTGAAGGTAAAGGAATTACAGCACATGGACTATCAAGAATGTAAGAAGATTTTTCCAAACAGTAAAATCTACCTTGAGTCTTCTGCAACAGGACAATATCAAAAGGTATTGATTGAACCCGCGTAGCAGGCTAGAGTCAAAAGCCCATTTTGAAGTCTGGTTTGAATCAGGCGCAACAGATTCTCATGCTGCGTTACTGCAGTGTCTGCAAAGGTACAAGGAAACTTTGATATTTTCCTTCCTTCTTTTGCCACTGGCTTATTTCAAACATCAGCAAGTATCACATGATCTGCATTCCCTGGAAATCCAAACGAGAGTAACATAAAGCACTCAAGACAAACACAGGAAAATACATTAAACACCAGGACCAACAGGTTTCAGAGAGCAGCACAATTTGAATATCAGCCAGGACACTTTTACGTATGACTGAGCCAGCTGCAAACACCAATGGCTTCCAAACTTTTTGCCTACTCAGAACAAATGTTCAGAAGAGACACTTGGGGCCATTTCCTTAATGGGTGTAATTGAAGCCAATGGAGACAGCTAGATCCTCAGCTGGTGTGATCTGACATACCTTCATTGCCTTCAATGACACCAGCTGAGGCTCTAGATCTCTCTGCTTTTATACAGAAAGGGCAGGGGATGTGGAGGAAGGGAGGCAGAAGAATCCATTTCTCTGTGGAACTGTGAATCTTTGGAGTGACCCATAATCACTTGTACATGGACAGGTTTAAATGTTTAGGGTCAGGTTCTGATGTACTATTCAATCTAGGCCAGCGATTTTGGGCACTTAACTTGAGCTACCTCAAAGGGACCTGATTTTCAGAGGGTGCTAAGTACCAGCACTTTCAAAATTAGTCTCTTTAAGATCTCTCAAGTTGTGCGCCCAAAATCACTAGACACTTTAGAAAATGTAGGGCTCCACTACCAGATGGAAGACACCTGATCCATTCATGTGTTTATAACAGGAGTGGCCAAACTTACTGACCCTCCGAGCCACATATGACAATCTTCAGAAGTTCGAGAGCCAGGGCTGAAGCCCCGAGATGCCCCCCCTCCCTACTGCCAGAGGCGATGCATGGGGGGAGGCACCTGGATCACATGCCCCCCGATTTTTGCCAGGGTTTGCTGGCTCGGTCACATGGTGCCGCCAGGCCCCATCCCTGCATGGTAGCTGCTGGAGCCAGCGAGCTGGGAACTGCAGTCCTGGGGAGAGGAAGCAGCAAACAGCTGGGAGCTGTAAGGAGAGCTGCTGCCTCTTGCCACAGAGCTAAAGCAGCAGCCCCTCCCTGCAGCTCCCAGCTGTTTGCCGCTGCCTCTCCAGGCAGAGCTAACATCTGGAGCTGCAGGGAAGGGCTGCTGAGAGAAAGAGAGGGAGTGTGCCTGGGGGGGCATGACTCAAGCTGTTCGTGGTGCTGAACCTTTAAATTGTGCCCCCCACTCACAGCAAGCACCAGTCTTCTCTGGCAGAAGCACCTAGCTCCACGACCTCACCGGAGGGCAGAGGCCGCGAGCTCCCCCCAGTCTGGTAGGCAGAGGGCATGGGGGGCAGTGCCGAGAGCCGCACTTTATCTATAAAAGAGCTGCATGTGACTCATGAGCCACAGTTTGGCCACCCCTGGTTTATAAGCTCCCTGTAAGAGGGTGCAGGACTTCCTAGTGCCCCCCAGGACTTACTGTCCCACAGTATTCTTGCCGGCAAGTTAAAGAAGTATGGGCTGGATGAACGGACTATAAGGTGGCTAGAAAGCTGGCTAGATCATCGGGCTCAATGAGTAGTGATCAATGGCTCCATGTCTAGTTGGCAGCCGGTATCAAGCGGAGTGCCCCAAAGGTCGGTCCTGGGGCCGGTTTTGTTCAATATCTTCATTAATGATCTGGAGGATGGCGTGGACTGCACTCTCAGCAAGTTTGCAGATGACACTAAACTGGGAGGAGTGGTAGATACACTGGAGGGTAGGGATAGGATACAGAGGGACCTAGACAAATTAGAGGATTGGGCCAAAAGAAACTTGATGAGGTTCAACAAGGACAAGTGCAGAGTCCTGCACTTAGGACGGAAGAATCCTATGCACTGCTACAGATTAGGGATCGAATGGCTAGGCAGCAGTTCTGCAGAAAAGGATCTAGGGGTTACAGTGGATGAGAAGCTGGATATGAGTCAACAGTGTGGCCTTGTTGCCAAAAAGGCTAATGGCATTTTGAGCTGTATAAGTAGGGGCATTGCCAGCAGATCAAGGGACGTGATCGTTCCCCTCTATTCGACATTGGTGAGGCCTCATCTGGAGTACTGTGTCCAGTTTTGGGCCCCACACTACAAGAAGAATGTGGAAAAATTGGAAAGAGTCCAGTGGAGGGCAACACAAATGATTAGGAGACTGGAGCACATGACTTATGAGGAGAGGCTGAGGGAACTGGGATTGTTTAGTCTACAGAAGAGAAGAATGAGGTGGGATTTGATAGCTGCTTTCAACTACCTGAAAGCGGGTTCCAAAGAGGATGGATCTAGACTGTTCTCAGTGGTAGCAGACAACAGAACAAGGAGTAAGGGTCTCAAGTTGCAGTGGGAGAGGTTTAGGTTGGATATAAGGAAACACTATTTCACTAGGAGGGTGGTGAAGCACTGGAATGGGTTACCTAGGGAGGTGGTGGAATCTCCTTCCTTAGAGGTTTTTAAGGTCAGGCTTGACAAAGCCCTGGCTGGGATGATTTAGTTGGGAATTGGTCCTGCTTTGAGCAGGGGGTTGGATTAGATGACCTCCTGAGGTCCCTTCCAACCCTGATATTCTATGATTCTATGATTGTCCATCATTTACCCCCTGTACTCCGCCAGTGGCTGCACTTGGGAGAGTTCTCAGGGGGCTGGTTCTTCTTCCGCCCTTCCCCTTGCAGGAGAGGAGAGTCTGGCTGGAACAAGGGTCAGCCTCTCAAACAGCCCCTGGATACAGCTTTACAGGCTCCATCACTCAAAGTCTATTGCCCCTTTGCACGGTTTACCTCCTACCCTTTTTCCTGGGGCGGCTCCAGAAACGATGTTCTGTGGATCTCTCCTCCTTGGCTGGTCTGCCTCTGTTACTAGCAGCCTTCTTCCTGGTCACCACCCCTTCCTATGGTAAGCTTCCCTTTTTAAGCCCTTCCTTCTCCGTGTTGAACAAGCCATGCAGGTGTGCCTCGTTAGTGCAGCACAGGTCCAGAGGAGCTCATTAGCCTCCCGGCCAATGGAAGGGTGTGTCCCTTCACACTCCCCGTCTGCCAACTAATGCAGGTGTTTCTTTAGCTCAGGAGGTTGAGATGCTGAGCTTTTGAAGCCAAGGGACTGTTTTTCATTCCAGAGCCGGTGGCCAATTGAAACGGAGTAGTGGTAATGCATCTGGATTATAGTGAAGCACTTGATCCACATTCTCACAAAGTCTTACTCTCCACGTGAATTCAGCATTCCTCCATCATTGACGTAGGATGTCACAGTTCTAGTTGTGCACTTCCTCGTGGCCACTGACTAGACTGCTTGGGAGGGAATCCACACCTCTGGATCCCAGTGTGTTTTGAGCCTGAACAGTGTCCAGCCACTGACCTGGCATTGGGTCACTAGCCACACTGTCAGGGCACAGATCCTTAGTCTAGCAACCTGCTGTCCAGCTGTCTAGCCCCTGGGCTCATTGCTGACCTTTCAGACTTCCCTGTAGCCTAAATGCACCCTCTCTCAGAGCTCTACTCAAAGTTGTGAGCCTTCTAGGCAGCTCGCCCTTCTATTGGGAGTCCAGGGGGGACCAACTGCATTCCCAAAGGTAAGCAGGGACCCTTGCGTCATCAGGCCCCTACATGCTGGGTTTCTTCTCCTTCCTCTTGAGCTGAAATAAAAATGGCCCCTCAGTTACACAGCTCCTGTCCTTTAGCCCTCTGTATCAGGTGCTCAGGTGACCAGCCACCCCTGACAAGTGACTGTTGCCAAGGGGACCTCTCCCCTGACAAACCAGTTCTGCTTGTTGGGAGCCATCTAGTGTTCAGACCTATTCCATTTCAATAGGAGCCCATTCCAGCGTTAACCATTATCTATTGTCAGCCCTGTACCGCCCTGTTGAAATTTAGGTCCTACATGGAGGTGAAAGGACTACAGAAAAGACAAAAATCTGCCCTTTCAAAATGGAGTTTGCAGCTATTTTTGCCCCCTCACTTTGACCTGCAAATGCCAGTGATTCCAAGTATACAGCAATTTCAAACCCATTTCCGATGAAGCAACGTTAGTAAAGCCCATTCCCTTCTCCCAACTTCAGCTGTCAAATCCTAGTAAAGATTTTAGAAATCTAATATGTGATGAGCTGAGAAAAATTGCAGCAGCCTTTGAGATGAATTGCAGTGTGTGGTGAAGCCTGACCTGCAGCTTTCACAACAGTGCTCCATGTGTGGTTCAAATTCTTAAGCTATCCACTTGCTAAAAGCCCCATAGAAAATCAAATTCAAGCAACATACTCCTATCTGCAGGTTTCTGAGTACTGCTGCAGTCGAACTATCCCCAGGTCTACATCATCTCTGTAAATGTCACTTGAGGATAGTGGGTGTGGGGGAAAGACACCTTTTTGATGACTTTGCTGGAAGGACTGGCACAACTTGAGCTGGTTGCTTTTATGTGTCTGACAGACTTTTATTAGTCAAAATAAATGGGTTTAAACAAAAACTCAAATAAAGTAAAACAGCAGCAGCAACATAATCAGCATATGGCTGCAGTAATACAACAAAGATTCCAGATGCAGTTTCAAATTCCCCATGACCTGGGAGTGTCTCAGGCGGAGTTTTTGCAGAAACTCTGAGACTAAGTGTGGGGAATTCTAGTGTGTGTGTGGGGGGGTGATACATAAAACCAAAAGCTCCCAGAATTCACTCTTTCACACCCTTTATTTCACCAAAAAACACAGAGGAAAAAAACAACAACACACATCTCACCTCGTTCTGGCTTTCAAGTCCTTTTTAATGGACCATGAGTCCGATCCAAAATGTCTTCCTGTGGCAGTTTGCTCCTTTGTCAGTTTCAACTTTAACACCTGGAGGTACGCACAAACCACGGCAGACGCTCGTGATCTCTTTGTAGCCCCTCCCCATCTCTGCTGTTTAACCAATAGCACGCCGGTGAGGTCACTGGTGATCCCACCAAACCATATCACCTACCCAGCATATTCCAGGAGAAGCTGCAGCAATCACACAAGCCATCAAATAAGAGTCTGATTTCTTCTGCTCCAACCTACACACTTACTTCTCAAAAGGATCATGATGTCCTTCTTTGACACTACAACACACTATCTGAATAAAATCCAATGACATCAAAAAAGGAAGACAATAAGGAGGACACATTGGCCAATGGTTACAAATAAGAAGAAAGCTGTAAGAGGTTAAACCCCCAGAATTAAGTGATACTCACTGCCTTGTAGGAGAGCTTGGTAGGATTAGACATTTCAAGAAACCGTTCACAGTTACACTAGCTAGGACACAACAGTTTAAGAGCGATTGCCCCCCTCATGCTTCAGGACATAAACCAAAAACTAACAGTCGGGGGTTCGGAAGCAACTTCATCCATTGTGCGAGTTTTGTATCTTACTCTGAAGTATCTGGTGGTACTGGCCCTTGTTGGAGATGGAAATGGCTCTTGCATTGCAACTCTGTTGCTATCCTTCTGGCCATCCCACCCTTGGGACAGGAAAACCAAGAATTCCCACACACTCCTTGACAAGCCCCCAATCTCAGAGTCTCCTTTTAAACAGTAAACAATAGAACCTCCTCCTTTTATTAGAAGGGCTAACAGCTGCCTACAATTACCCAATGGCTGGTAGTTATGGCCTTGAGAGACCTAATTTTTCCTAGGCTTGGACTCCAAATCAATCATATAATACACTGCAAAAACCAACAAAAGTAGTCAGAACCAAGGTGGGGAGGTCAAATTCTGATTTAATCTTCATGGCCAGATCCTCTACTGGTGTAAATCAGAGAAGCTCCATTGAGTTCAGTGGTGCTACCCCAATTTGCACCAGCTTTGGATGTGGCCGAGTATACTTAGCAAAGCTGACTGCAGATCAATTCTCTGCACATTTTTGTTTTTCCTGAGAAAACAGCGTCAGAGCAGACCCAATCACATCCATACTTACTTTGCCAATAATTTATACAGTGAGGCCACTTAAATGTGTTTAATCCATGAAAAGATTCAGTTGCTTGGATCCAGATTTAAAAGAAAAGCAGGCAACTGCAGCGATAAAAATGTATCCCGTTTAATCAACTGAACACATAACAGAGCGCTTTGCATTTGTTTATGGCCTTAAATAACAAATTCGTACATAACGTTGCTGATGGGATGGTTGCTGTGAGTACATTTTGGCAGAATACTAGATGTCACAGGCAACAGTTTGCTTAATGAAGTGTTTCAAGACTTCAAAACTGTGCCTTTTATGGGAACATGAAAACAGCCTTTTTGTCTATCTTTAGGGAAAGAAAAAGAGAAACAGCCAAAACTCAGCTAAAAGGTATCAGAACAAACTTATTTATGGCTGGAAAATTCCATTACAATACTTTACGCTAGCCTTAAATCAATTCTATAGGCTTAGCTGGTTTCGGCTTCTCATAGTGCTCAACCAGGTGTACCTTCACGGTGCCCAGAAGAATTTCTTATAATAATATGACAGATCATTTGGAACCTCATATAAGAAGTGTCATATAGCAAAGGCTGCAGGAGCTGACAAAAAATGCTATTTTATATCTAAATTTGAAAAAGTCATGGGGGGGAGGGAAATAACAAAACATATAAAACCCCTCCTTTGTATTAATAAAACTGAAAGGTAGTTTGTTAAAATTTAAGGCATTTTAACATGTCAGGAATATGACTCCAGCAGCAGCAGAAGAAAAGATGTTCCTGGAAATGAATCCCAATTATATCTCTATGGCTTGGGAAACGGGTGCAGATAAGAGCAATAGATGAAAACATTGGTGACAGACGTAATTCTGTGCAAGGTGGGACGTTCCATGGCTCCACCCATCACTGAAGAACACTGCCAAATTTAGCGCAGGCTGCAGTTCTTCCAAAGATTGCAAATTCGCAGTTCAAATATATTTTCACTTCACTGTACAAATGCTGACCAGCTGAAAACCTTTGACACTACAACACACTATCTGAATAAAATCCAATGACATAAAAAAAAAATCCTCTTCATAAAAGATCAGCAAAGAACTGAAATCTCAAAATCCCAATTGGCATTTGCTAAGGGAGCATGTCACCATTGCTGACTGCGTGTAAACGATAGGATGATGACAAATACAATGCAAGATAATAAATGTGCAACAGTACAAAATATACAAAAAAAGAAACTTGTATTTAATATACATTCAAGAACATCAAAAAATGGTTCAATACCTCATAAAAATCCCTTCTTTCTGGAAAATGAAACGCTGTTTCAAGAACAAAAAGAAATGTACACAACCTCTGATGAGATGCCCAACGTAACTCCAACCAGAAGAACAGATCTCAGTTTCTGGATATATAAAATAATTGAAATAAATTTCCCTAAACAAGAAAAAGCAGCTCTAATCTTCATAAAATCTCCTTCACATCTCATAGTGTAATAAAATATTCAGTTTTCATTTTAGATTCAATTTAATTTAGAAGTGAACTCTTCTCAGACTGGTTGATGCAACTGAGTCATACAAAAGCCCAAATCTATATATCCTTTATAGTAAAAACACCATTTTTGCCTGTGTCTTTTCCAAAGTTTTATATGCATTTCACAATTCAGACATTTATTGTGATGCAGATATAGGTCTGATTAGAGGGACAAGATTGGAGCCTCATTTCTTCCTAGCTTTACGCAACTCTTTCCTTCATAATTTTCATCAACGATTTTATACCCACATTTTAGTAGATTATTTTCAGTTCAATTTGCACTGGAATTTCAGGAAATTACAGTTTTTCATAGACTCGATATTAGGAAGATCACATACTTTTAATGTGATTGATAAGTCAGAGATTTTTAGCCCTGAAAAAGGATCTCAGGCCATACTTCAATATTCAAAGCACCTTTTTGTCCCCTCATTTAAATGTACAATAACTTGCATCGACAGTAGAACCCATTTGTATGCCAAGATACATGATGGTGTAACCAACATTAATACCTGCAGGGGGGGTCCTTGTCCCTTTTTAGACCACATACAGGCTAAAGAGTCTGATACTGCCTCTCAACTGCAAATTGGCTCGGTTAGCTTAGACACTAGAAGTTTGTGGTTCCCCTCGCTCCCAAAGAGTCCAGGATTCAATCCCTACAGATGCTCATCCCAGGGGGTTGACACACAAATGACATCTCGAACCGGGTACTGAACTGCTGTCAACCTCGATGCTCAGGACAAGCTTCCCCAGGCAGGGAGAATGCATAATTCACATTGTGGATCTTTGGTCCCCCCAGTGTCTAAACCACGTCAAAAGATTTCTGAGTGCTGCTGCTGCTGCTTCTAAACGGACGGCTCTGATCTTTCAACTCCGGCAGTGGCAGCGCACACATTTAGGGTATGTCTACACTTGGAGCTGGGGGTGTGACTCTCAGCTCACGTAGCCAGACTTGCTCTAGCTCTCAAAATAGCACACTAAATACAGTAGTGTAGCCACAGTAGCACAGGCAGTGCCAAGCAGTGGCATGGGCTAGCCACCCTGAGTACAAATCCACCTGAACCCTGTGGGTACATACTCGGCACAGCTTGCCCGTGCGGCCGCTGCCTGTGCTACCATGGCTACACTACTATTCTTACTGTGCTAGATTGATGACAGCAGATGCGAAAATGTCTATACAAGCTGGGAATCACACCCTTAGCTGTAGGTATAGATATAGCCTTAGATTCAGGAGTGTCATGTTCAAGCCAACCCAGATGGTCATCATGTTGGCATCTAAGTGGGTTTGATCCATGGGTGCAAAATTGGCCCTGCCACACTGAAGGCTGTTGCAGGACATCCAGCCCTTAGCCCCAAAAGCATTATTTTATCCAAGGATCAAAAGTCATCCATGGTTCTGTTTCAAGTACCATTCTCCATTTTGATTTTAAGAGAGACTTGAAGTTAGGCTACAAAAAGTACAGTACAGAACCTTTTCAGAAAGTTTCGAATCTCCCAGAAAATTAGTTCTTATGATGCATATGGACGAAGTGATTATGCATTGAAAGGTACCAATAAATCACACAGCATGCCTGAGCAATGCACAGGTGAATACAAAACTCATGTCAGTTGTAGTCTGTATATCTCTTCCTGAGTTAAGTTTCATTCCTAATTTGGAACCCAAGCAGTCTGCTTCTTGTTTTTGGCAAGGTACTTGACCACAGAATAAGGCAATCCAATCTTTTGTTTTGATTTCAACCCTCTTTTTTCTTAAATGGCTCAGCATTTCTCACTGCAACCATTACTCTGCAGGAATATGTTTAAAAGATGGTCCCGTAAAAATAGAAATCAGGTTTGTTTCTTTGAAGGTAGCATTTAATCCTCATATATTTTGTGATCTTGAAGATTTCAGCTGAACAGATTCAAAACGATCTTGTTTTTCCTGCAATGTAAAGAGACAAGTTCCCGTCAATCATGATTTCTCAAATTCATTCTGAAGTGTACGAACGTCTCTTCACTCAGTATAAAAAGTCCTGGAACAAATTTCTACTCTCAGTAACTTGAGTGCATCTCCTGTTGAAGACTTTACTGGGATTGTGCAACAGTAAATGAGAGTAGAATTTGGCCTTTAATTTTAAACTAAATCGTAACATCTCTATAAATTAAAAATAAAAATTGTACAAACTTCAAAATTCCATTGTGAGGTAGAAAGGGTATGAATTTTTTATTGTTTCCTTTATAGGAAGTATATAGATAAGTCCACAGGTACATACACAAATGGCATATTTTGCACAGCATTGAACAGAGATGTCAAGGTTATGGATTTTATGATAGAATTACAAAGAAATTATGATGAATTACTGTAAAAAAATTACAAAACATTCAAGAGTGAGAGCAGTTTGAGCAAAGAACTGAGAATGAGAAACTCTTGAACTCTGACACTGAGTCCTTCGGTAGCCTTAACCAACCCACTTAGGCCTCAGTTCAGCAGAGCATTTAACATGTGTTGACCTTTCAGAGCGTGAATCGCCACCCCCTTCACTAAGGCTATGTCTACACTACAGTTTATGTCAGCATAACTTATGTCTCTCAGGGATGTGAATAAACCACCCCCCAAGCAACGTAAGTTACACCGATATAAGTGCTCGTGTGCACGGCACAATGTCATCGACCGGCTTCTGCCGTTGGTGGAGGTGGTTTTATTATGCTGACGGGTAGCGCAGCTGCATCGGTACAGCTGCGCCAGTACAGCTCTGTACATACAGACATGCCCTGAGGTACCAATTCTCCAAACACTTAACCCAGGCATTTAACTTACTATAGTGAGCAATCACTTTGATTTTATTGGGACTACTCACAGTCGTGAAGTTAAGCATGTAAGTGTTTGCAGCTTTGGGGCCTACAATGGGACTATTCCCACGTTTATGCGTTTTGCTTAATTGGGGATTGAACTAGAGCTGGGGGGGGGAATGCTTTTCCAGTCCAGTGAAAATTTTTGAGATTTCAAAAAAAATTTCCTTTCTGCACCAGGAGAAACCAGTGATTTTTGGAAATTTGTCCTGAAAAACAAGTGAGAGAGGGCACTCAGCTGGGATGTGGGAAACCCAGGTGCAAGTCCCCCACTCCAAATCTAGGTTAGTGCACTAGCCACCAGCCTGCAGAGTCAGTTTCTAGTTCAATTTCTCGTGTTCCAAATATATAAATACTTTAATATTCACTGAGCCAACAAACGAGACGGAGTCTGCAGCACTGTGGTTAGGGCATTTACCTGAAATGTGGGAAACACAGATTCAAGTCCCTCTTGCAAAGGAAGGATTCAAAGCTGAGGCCCGGTCTACACTGGGGGGTTAGGGAGGGGAGCTCAATCTAAGATGCGCAACTTCAGCTACGAGAATAGCGCAGCTGAAGTCGACGTATCTTAGATCGACTTAGACTGACTTACTTCGCGTCCTCAGGGCGCGGGATCGATGGCCGCCACTCCCCCGTCGACTCCGCTTCCGCCTCTCGCCCTGGTGGAGTTCCGGAGTCAACGGGGAGTGTGTTTGGGGATCGATGTATCGCGTCTAGACGAGACGCGATACATCGATCCCCGATAGATCGATCGCTACCCGCCAATCCGGCGGGTAGTGTAGACATACCTTGAGTCTCCCACATTCTGGGTGAGGGCCCTACCCCCCAGGACATTGGCTATTCTGTGGCACATCAAGCTCTCTCCTGTTTGTTAACAAAAAGTATCCCACAGAATGAAAACAAATGTCAAAACCTCAAAATTTTTCCTGAAGTGGAATTGTTGTTTTCTAGCCTGCCCTATAATTTACCTCGTGTGGGTACACCCAAGTTGATTCTCATGCAGAGCATTTCACTGACAACATTGTAGATGATTTTAGCCGGAGCAAAGAGAGTCATTAGTGTAAAAGGTAGCAAACTCAAAACTGATGAGGAAATACGTTTTCACACTATGTGTCATTAGACTGTGGATCTCATTGCCACAGGAGGCTGCTGAAGACAAGAACTCCAGGATACTGGAGAGAAGAAAAAGGGTGGGTGGTTTTGAGGTTATCGGTAGGAAATGGTTGAGAATCCTGCAACTGTAGAAGTTTCATGCATCAACACATTGATTAAATTAGGTCTTCATAATGCTAATACAAATACCAAACTTGTCTTGGTGTACCTACGATACAGACCTTGTTTAAAAAATGGAGTGGACGTGTATATGGAAGGCAAGAAAATCTACAGCTATATTACTTAATGCTAACAAATATTTTGGAAAGAGATATTAAACTAAAGTCACTCTTTGGGGTTTAAAATCACTCTCTAACTATTACAATGAGACCTAATGCATGTGCGGGGTCAGATTCTCCCCTAGCTGCCTACTGCAGGGTTTCCTGCACTTCCTCAGCCTGATTCAGCACAGCAATTCCTATATTCTGTGTTGTTATTACAATAATACTGCAAATAAATAGTTTTCCATTTTTACATTAGGGGCTCAGCTCTGCATTTCTTATCTAGTCAAAGCTCTCAATAACTTCATGAGAAGTTTTGGAACACAGAAAAGTAATCACCTAGGGTCTGATCCTATTTTTAATATATTTGATTTTTTCTCTCTCTGTTGATACATCTTTACATTATCCCTGTCCCCCATATTTTTCTCTCTCTCTCTTTTCTGTTTTTTTTAAGAAGTTGTACTTCTCATCTTTTGCAGTAATGAAGAATGATGCCTATCACATGTGTTTTGAGGAAATACATAATAAATCCCAGTTATCTGCAGGGATATAGGATGCAGACTTGAGCAAGCTAATGAGGTCTTGGAGGCTGAGTTTGGCAGCTCTGATTATCCAGCAGATGGGGGGGGAAAAGCCAGAGATATCTGACAGGCTTTTTTGAAAAGGTAACTGTGTACAGGGAAGCCTATTAAAATGAACATAGGAACTTGAGTTAAGAATAGTCTGTTTGAAAACAGTGCTCAGGTGTGCAAGTGATTGCTATTCTCAATATAAAGCACTAAGCTTACTTTTAAACTACAAAACCTATTTCTTCCAGCAATCCTTCCTCTCTTCTTCTAATCATTACAGGCCCAGTCCTTCATACTTCAACCAAGCCTTTAAACTCATCAGGACTATTCATGGTAGTAAACGCAAAATTCAGCAGCAGAGGTGGTCAAAAATTTTCACTACATTCAGCAGTAGAGAGCTTTCACAAAATCAGCACTTCTGAGTCGTTTTCTTTTTTGCAAGGTTCAAAATGGGGGGAAACATCTTTTTTGAGGGGGCAAGGGACAGAATATTTTGCTTTTAAAAAAAAAATCATATTTTTGACATTTTGAATTTTCAATATGCTATATTCCCCTCCCCTTTTTTCTTCTTGACACTGACTACAATAAAATGAATGATTTCCAGATGCGGGGTTCCCGCACACACACACACACACTTTTTCATCTGGTCCTTCTAATGTTTCCAAAGTTGAAGATATGGGAAAGTTGCAGAAGGGAAAAAAATTAAAATGGAGAAAAAGAAAAAAGGGGAGCAGGAGGGATACCCCTACACATCATTCATTCTGTCACATTCAGTGGCAAATAGGAAAATCAGAAACAAGAAAGGCAAAACCCCCATAAATATGAACATTTGAAATTTGGGGTTTTGATGAAAAACGGGACAATTTAGAAAAAAATCTTGAAAACAATTTTCTGAAACTTTTCAGTTTAAAAATAGCTATTTTCCAGCAAAAAAAAAAAAGTAATCAAATAAAGTTTCAACCAGTTGTACTCAGCACTACAGGCCTGATCCACTTTGAAGCAGTGGATGTCTTTGGGGCTTTGGGAAAGGACTGAAGTACTTGCAAGCTCAGACCCTTAGAACCTCCCTCTTCTTTGGCTTGTGTTTTTTTGGCTTTGTCTAATTTAGGGCCCCATCCTGCAAACACTACAGCTTACTACTGTGCTCTCCCTTGAAATGGCTGGGATTTCTCAGAGCAGTAAGCACGACACCAAGCATTAGCAGATGTGTATGTATAGACTGGAAGCCCACAGTTCTCAAACTGTGGTCTATGGACCTCCAGTGTCTACAGAGCACTTACAGATAAGCCATGGAGAGCTGGCTAGACACTTGGTGCTTTCAGAATGTTAATTTTCCATGTAAGCAATTGCTATGGAAGCCCCTTGGGATGGTGTTTAATCAGCAATGGGAGGTGACCTGTGTGAGGTGTCCATCAGACAAACTCTTTTCAGTTGTTCTCCATACTCTGAAGATCCGTGTTATAAGTTCTTTGGGCAAGAGAGAATCCTGCAACTCAGTCCCATTGACATTAATGGAGCCTTAGATCTATTGATGTGTGTGTTTGCAGGTTAGTTAGTGTAGCTAGGGTGACCAACAGTCCCGATTTTGGGGGCTTTTTCTTATACAGGAACCTATTACCCCCGCCCCCGTCCCGATTTTTCACACTTGCTATCTGGTCACCCTAAGTGTAGCCTCTTTTTAAAACTGAATAACTCTGTGTTAAACTGTCGTGTCCCTAGGAAGTGAGTTCGGCTCCTGTGGTGCTACAGTTTTCAGATCAATTAGACAGGGAGACTCTTAGGAGCACACAAGAACAAATACAGGGACCACAAACAAGATTTTTCACTTGTAAATTATAATCATAAACAAATATATAAAAACCTAAGAAATCCCATGCACTTGCTAATGCTGTATTCATACTCACATACCCAAGGATATTACAGAGTCTGATGGATCTTTCAACAGGTGGTCATTGATAGAGGCGTGGTTCTTGCTGGGGTCATCCCAATGAGGTCCTCCCTCAGGGTCTTCCCACCCTATCCATACCAACCAACCCGTTATCTTGTTGTTCTGACCACGCTTAACACTTTATGCTTATGCATGAGGGTTCCAACTTCCTTTTCCTTATCTGTACTTCCACACCCCATCCATTTTGGGGTGCTCTGCTTTACACAGGTTATTCTCTGAGTTCCCCTTATTCTCATTAGCATTTATGTAAACATGTTTCCATGGTGACTTGCGGTCAGGTGCCTTGCAGTCTAGGTGGGCACATTTTGGTCTCTTTTTCCAGAACATCACCTATTAGCACATTCTTTACAGTAATCATGTAACTTTTACTCCTGGGGGAATTCTGTGCCACTGCGCATGTGCAGAATTCATGTCCCCCGCAGATTTCCTTGCTTCCCCACAGAAATATTACTTTCTGACAGGGAAGCAAAGAGAAGCTGCAAGAGCAGTCACGCACCACTCCCTAGCAGTGCAGGTACATCATTTTAAGCACTCGGAGCAGCCGGCAGAGAGGTTGATCATCATGGGGCTGGGGACATCCCAACCAGTGGCTCCTACCCTGAGCTAGGATCAGCTGCTAGTCCCAGCTGGGCTGGAGGCAGGAAAGGATGGGACTTCCTCTTCCCCTGCAATGAGTGGCTGGGGCTGTGTCAGACCCACCCCCAGAAACCTCCCCCAGCAGCAGGAAGTTCAGCATCCTCCCCTGCTTCCTGCCCCCATTGCTCCTCAACTGTGGGGGGAGGGGTCACTGTATGGGGAGCTGCTTCCCCATCCGCCCAACCCCCATGCATTCAGACCTCCCATACTCAGACACCCTTGCCAAGCTTCACCCCGTACACCCAGAACCCCCCTACCCCTCCATACCCGAACCCCACCCCACTGAACCTCAACCCCTGCATCTGGAGCCCCTCTGCACCCAGACCTCAACTCCTGCACCCAAACCACCCCTCACTGAACTCCCTGCACTCAAACCCCCACACTGACGAGCCACACCCTCCCTGCACCACTCTGAGCCCCCACGCCACTGACCCCCAACTAGCTGCACCCAGACCCTCACCCCACTAAGCCCCACTCCCCCAGCCCCCAGACTTCCCCACTGAGACCTCCACACTCAAACTCCTCTGCTGAGCCCCAACCACCTTCACCTGGAAGCCCATGCAGAATCCCATTGCTCTTGCACCTAGAAGCCTCCCCAACGAGCCTCTGTGCATCCAGATCCCCCCACACCTAGACCCCTCACTGAGCTGCCTGCACCCATATTTTCCACACAAATCCCTCTCACCCCACACCTGGATCCCCCCACACTGAGCCCCTTCACACTTGGATCCTACCTGGTTGAGCCTGCCTGCCCCACACCTGGTGCACCTGGCGGAGAGGGGCAGGGCCCCAGGGTGTTTCTGGGGCAGGCCCAGGCCTTGTGCTGTGTCAGGGTCGGGTGCAGCCTCACCGCTGAGTCCATGTTCCAGGGATGTGGGGGCTGCAGGGTGATCTCCCATTTTTATGCAGCCAGTGGCTTGTGCTCCCCACTGTCACGCTGGAGCCTCTCCATTTATTTAGAATTTTGCAGAATTTTAAAATGTGCGCAGAATTTTTAATTTTTTGGCACAGAATGCCCTCAGGAGCAGGTAACCTTACTAGCATAAAGTCAGTCTTAGGTTGCTCACTCGTGTCAAGTCTCCTTAACCTTGAGGCCTAGTGTGGTTAAAGCTGAAATCTTTCAGCCTTAGCCTGTAGGCCTTGCATTACTGCCTTACCTTACTTGTATACTTAATACACACTTGTCACTCCTAAATACTTGTCAAATTTATATTAAAATAATCCTGTCCTACTTCTATCTATTCATCACACATTGACTGCATATGAAATAACGTAATTACAACAATTATACAACAAAACGATAAAATAAGCTAATTAGCTACATTAAACTAACTGTGCTACGTCAGTGTCAATAAAAAAATAATAATATTCATGCTCACCTTTGTTGCCAATGACTTGAGCTTTCCCAGCAATGACTGTTTATTTGAATATACTATTTCCTCTTCGTTATCTTCTCCTTCCATTATAGCACAGCTGTCAGCAGCTGGAAGCTCACACTCTTTCGAGTTAGCTGTCATCACTAATTTGGAATATTTATACTCCAACCTAAAGGTACAAACTTGGACAGTTATTTTCTTAATACCCCATATTCTAGCTGCGACAGTGCAGGTGGTCAGAACACTATCTGCAGCTATTCCGTAAGGTTATTTGTTAAGCATTTATAAAGAATCGGAAGTTATATTTTAAGAACCAGAAGTAAGAAAGCATGACTAGAACTGCATTAGCAACTCATCCATTTCCTGTTTTCCAGACTAGAACAGAACAAACTCCGTCCCATTAGGTCTTTAAATCAAAGACTTTTTTTTAGACTTTTTCTAAAAAATACACTCAAGACCAAGCAGAAACTGTGAGCTTGATTCAGGAATCACTGGGTAGAATTCTGTTGCCTATATTATGCAGGAGGTCAGACTCGATGATCATAATGGTCCATTTTGGTCTTAAAATCTATGACCTTACCCATCTCTATTGCTTCCAGCCTTAAGCCAACCTCTGTCAAGGGTTAGGAGGAAACTTCTCATGGCTATCCCACAACTGCCTACTTCACCTTATCTTGCACCTTTCTCTGCAGCATCTATTATGGCCATTGCTGGAGACAGGAAATCGGACTAAGTGGATCACTGGACTGATCAGGTATGACATTTCCTACACTGTGTTAGGGTTTAATTCAAAGTCCAGTGGAATCCATGGGAGTTTTTCTAGTGAGTTCAATGAGCTCTGGATCAGGCTTTTGATTTATTTTTGTATGTCACCTCAAGTGCAGTACTTACTTCTGATTTTTCTTCCAGAAGTAGCAGGTTAAGGCTACGAGCAGCACAGCCGTGAATGCACCAACACCTGCTCCAACTTTTAACCAAAAGTCCATGGTTTCACAGGTGCTGACCCTTTTCTCAGGCAAGGCAATCCCCTTCATGCATTGCTTTGGCTCATTCCAGACATATAAGGTTTCCTTTCAAAAAAAATGAGAGAGAATACAGAAAAGCGATGTGAATGTAGAGAACGTTTATGGACATTTTGAGGTTAAGCCAACAACATGTTTTTGAGGCAGTGAAATTACAGAAAACAGAGGTGTTATTTACTTTAAATATATATATATATTTAATCATATGAGGGCCAGATTCTCCACTGGGTTATGCACCTTTTCTTCATACACTACAGGGACGTATACTGGCTGTAAATGCCTGGGAGAAATCCCTGCTGGCACAAGTGTATTGCTCTCAGGTCCTCTGCCTATGCCGCCCCCTCCCCCCGCCCCATTCAGAATGGAGGAGTGTGTTGGGAGAAGAGATGTAGGGTAAAGGGAGTAGGTGTGGTGTAGTCTGGCTACGATGTCCAGGACCCTACCCCAGTGGAGCAACTTAAGGTATGTCTACACTGCAATCAGATGCGTGACTGCACCCCAGGTAGCATACCCATGCTAGTTCTAATCTAGCCTGATCCCCAAAAATAGCAGTGAAGATGATGCAAGCCCGCGTTGTTGCAACAGTGCGCACCCTGGTTCTGGTCAGACTAGTCCATGCTGCTGTGTCTTCTGTGCTAGCTAAACTAAAGCTAGTGCAGCTATACTGACATGAGTGGCAATCATGCCTCCGATTGCAGTGTAGACGTACCCTTAGAGCAGTGTGGCAGGTACTCTATACTACACAGGGGCTTGGGACAGCCCTAATTATCAGGGAGCTGTAACAGGGTTCCCAACGCCCTGACCCCTTGCTCCTGTGCTGAGCTGAGTTCTCGTGCAGGGCAGAATCTAGCCCATGTCTCCAAAATGGCTTGGCCTAGTAACCTGAGATTTAACAGTAAGAATAATTTTGGAATGAGACCCAACTGCACTCCCCTGCGTCATGGCTGCAGGCACGGGGAGGGGACAAAGGATGTACGCTCAATGCTTGCTCCTCACACAGGCTAGCAGAGATTGGGATGGACAGAGAGGGGAATGGGTGGAGCCTGCTTCTGACATGGTGCTCAGAAGAGCAGATCTGGAATGGGGAAGGGTTAGTAATCTGCAAATGGAGAAGGCCAATAGCAGATAACTTCTCCTGGGAGCAAAGAGGGAGTGGAATGAATTGTGACTCTTTCCCTGGTCTGCTCTTGGAGCAGCACGGCTAGGTGATATACAGGCACAATCTAGCCCTGTGGCTTTTACACAGGCAGTTTAACAGCACCCCCGAGCCTACACAACTCATCCAATTTGACTAAAAGGCTTCAGTCCTCTACCTGAAATCCCTTTTTACAAGCTCCCTCAATCTCATGGTAGTCATGCTCTGTGCACAAAGGACAGGCTTCTGTACTTTCCCACATGAAGTAGAAGGTGCATCCATCACAGGTGCCAACGGGGCATGTGCTAGGAGAAAAGCAAAGTTTGGTTAGCACTTGTGACACAGGTTTCAATCCGGGGAAAGGCGAACCGGTCTGGATTCTCTGCCTCCAGACTACTGCTCAAGAGCGCTAATAATAATTATGATAATTAATAACCACCCATTGATTCAACATTTCCAAAACAAACCAAAAAAGCCCAGGGAAAGATTTTTCAATCAGTGAAATATCTAGCTTCAAATAAAGAAGGTGTTAGTCTCGCAAATTACTGGCAATAAGAGTCCAGATACCACTGATACTACACTGATATAAAACTCTATAAACTAAACTAGAAGCAGTCACTGAAAGCACTGGAGTTATTCCAGATTTGCACCAATGTACGCAAGGGGGAGAATCTGGCCCATAATGTTCAGTTTTGTAAATATATTCTAATATCCTTAAAAAGCACTTCCTCAGATGAGGTTGCATCAACTTCTGATTTCATAACTGTGTTTTATGTATATCTTTTGTACTTGAGGGTGTCTTTCTGATGTGTTCCAATCAATCAATCAGAGTGACTAAACAACGAAGATTTATTAATTGACTAACTGAGCCAAGTTGCCATGGACTGCTATACACCAAAGGCCAAATTTTCAAAAGTGGCCAATGATTTGGGATGTCTCAAGTTGGACATGCCAAAATTGAGGTAACCTAAATCAGTATCTGCCTTTGAAAATTGTGGGCTAAGCAATTTTAACTTTGTACCCCACTGCCTGCCACACCTAAATGAAAGTTGTCAGTAGTTTAACTAGATGTCACTGTTCTATAAAGATGTCAAAATTACAGCTGTATTTCATCAGCATAATTTATACAACTACCACTAGGTGGCAGGTAATACAGACCTCTGCTCTAGTGACTCTGAATTCTTTTTCAGAATAAATTTTATATTTGAGTAAAGCTGAGAAACAAAATGTATATGAAAAATAGTAGGCCATATTCATCCTTGATGTAACTCCAATGATTTCATTGGCAAATATCTAGAATTACAGGGGAAAAGCTATAAATTACTAGAAAAAATTATATATATTTGGACAAAGTTCATCCCTGGTGTAACCCCACTGGTAGGAAAAAAGTTAAATTTTGTCCCAATCTATTTTTCTAGTAACATCTAGCATTTCCCCTACAGTTTCAGATATTTATGTGAATTAGAAACAGAACCCCAGTGTTCTATTATGTTATGGGTAACCCCACCACTGCTGCCACCCTGATACCCAGAAGCTTGCGAAAACCCCATTTCTTTTTTTTATTTCAAGGTGTTCAGGCAAAAACATGTATTGCAGTAATTACAGCTGCTGTTTCTACTTGCTCTGAGTTGATAGGGGAACATTAATTGTAATTGTGATGCTTTGAGTGATTTCCTCCGTAGGTAGCAGACATGCTCTGTAATAGTTACTTAGTGGAAGGATGTTTACTAGCCTACTGAACAGGTAACAGCTTCTCCACAAACCTGAGAAGTACAAATGGCCCTATTCCATGTTCAGTTAGTAGAACAGAATACTATCTGCACTTCCACGACACTTGCTCAATTGATGTTACCGGCAGCTAGATTGGTTCTAACAGTGACAGTAACTGGAAGTCTATTCAACAGCCAAAAATACACAATTGGTTCATTAAATCTGGATCATACTTGCTATAGAAAAACTGACTTAAGAGAGATTTGTCGTGTCACCCTGAAATCTGTCACACATTTGACAAAATCCAGAGAGCTAGAAGACCAACCTCACTTGCCTTGATTTGACTAATTCAGACCACCACCTCTGAATCAGAGAGTATTTTCTCAGGAACATTGGTAGGCCTATTTCCCATGTTCCTTTCATCTTACACCCTGGCTAAACCAGGAATAAACTACAAAGAAGGCATTGCTTATTTAGACATTTTTGTTACAAATACAGATGTCTACTCTGATATTAAATGCTCTGCTTGAACTGTTATTGGATCGTGATCTTCCTCAATCAGTCCAAGATACTTATATGATCCCCTTTACCATAATATCTGAGCACCTCACAATCTTTAATGTATTTATCTTTGCAACGCCCCTCTGAGTTAGAGAAGTACCACATTTTATAGATGGGAAACTGAGGCATAGAGAGGCTAAGGGACATTCCCAGGGTCACATAGGAAGTCTGTGGCAGAGCAGGCTTAATTCCTGTTTAAACTAGAGCTTATATTTTAGAAAAATATCCACATTTTAATTTAAAAATTTCCAATGATGGAGAATCCACCATGACCTTTCGTGAATTGTTTCAATGACTGATTACTCTCACTGATCAAAATTTGTACCTCATTTCCAGTCTGAATTTAACTATCTTTTTATATCTTTGTCTGCTAGATTGAAGATCCCTCTATTATCCAATTTCTGTTTCCCAGGTAGGTACTTATGGATCAAATCAACCCTTAACCTTTTCTTTGTTCAGTTAAACAGACTGAGCTCCTTGCATCTATCACTATAAGGTTTCCAATCCTTTAATCATTCTCTTGGCTCTTCCCTGAACCCTCTCCAATTTATCAACGTCCTTCTTGAATTGTGAGCACCAGAACTGGACAGAGTGTTCAAGTAGAGGTTGCACAAGTACAAAATAGAGAGGTTAAATAAGCTGCCTATTGTGCACTCTTTCCTGGCTTTATTGCCTAAGAGCAGGCTGTTGTGTATCTGTCTTAGGTGCTACCGCAGGGGCCTCACAGCCAGCAACAGCTAGAATGTGCTGCCTGCAGTTCACCTGGAGATGACATATATATGGATCACTGTGGCCAGGTACTCACCTGGAAGAAATGTGTGTCATCTCCTGGACAGTCACAGATGGGAGAAAGCACTTCTCACTACTTGCTAATCTAAGGCAACTAAACGAGTTTTGCCAAGGATGGCTTAAGAGGACTGGGCATCTGGGCAATACTGTAATACCCTTAATTAAATACCTGGGGACTGAAATATCGCCTTGGCCTGGTTTGGTGGGATTACACCTCATCACCATAACAGTTGCACGTCCATTTTCACAGGGGGTTGTAAGTGTAGAAGACCTAATATGAAATAAGAGCAAAGTTTTCAATGAATATTGATTTTACTTTAAAAAATTACATATTGCACAATAAATGCATATTTACATGTATGCACACAATTCTGCCTAGGTGTGCACCTAGAGCTAGCGAGAGTCTGGAGACTCTGCCTGATTTCCAGCAGTGCTGAATCATTCTGACCCAAGTCACCACTGGGCTCGCCTCTGAGGAACAGCCTCCCCCCCCCCCCCCCCAAATCCAAAATGACAGTATTAGAAAATCATAACCACAGAGATCATGGTCTGAATGTACTCTGCAGGAAACACTACAGTCGACTCATTCACTCCACTACCTCAGGAAGCTGCAAACTACACTTCCCTGCAATTGCAGAAGGTGGGCAGGACTCGGAGAATGACATATGTTGCATCAATATGCCCCCTGTAGGCTAACGGCTTAAAACTACAATGACCTTACCCACAGTAGGGTCGCTGATAGGTAGGGTGACCAGATGTCCTGATTTTATAGGGACAGTCCCGATATTTAGGGTTTTGTCTTATATAGACTCCTATTACCACCACCCCCTGTCCTGATTTGTCACACTTACTGTCTGGTCACCTTACTGGTAGGAATAGTACCTGGAGGAACAAACTAGGGAGAGGACACTGTAGGCTGAGCGTGTCTCAAACCAAGTGATTTTTTTTTCTCCAGTTCATTTTTGTAACAAAAATGTAAAAATAAAAATGAACGCAAAAGGAAGTATATAAATGTAAAGCGCGCATTTAAAAGAGAAATTAAGGAGAAGCCAGGGCCCAGAAAACAAGGTTGAAGATGGCACCTGGAAATATCCAGGCTCTCCTCTGTGTAAATCAGGAATAACTCAGACTTGTGCAAGCTGCTGCATTAACTGATTTCACAACCTACTCATCAGCACGCCCATCAGTCTGAGCCCAGGAAGAGTGCCTTAAAGACCTTCCCCCAAGTCTACATTCCCTTTAAACAATTAAAGAGCGCTGATGTTCCTCCTACGGAGAATTTTCCACCTACTTGAAAAAGAAATTCACATCAGGTATTGTCCTTTGGGAAGATGGAAACATTTCTGTTGCAATGTTAATATTTCCCAGTATGGTTTCAACCGTAGCTCCTAAAAATAAGAGCAAACAAAAAAAGAGAACAAATTAAGCATGTGGTTTTTGAAAGGTACATGCTTTACAAAGTGTGCTTTCCAGAATGGCATTTGATTTGCTAATTAAGAATTTGTCCAGTAATTTCGCATTATGCACAATTTTTTAAAGATAAACCACGTGAACTTCTACCCATCTCATAAGATACAATTTTATTATCGAAGGGTATGCAATAAAACAAAGAGCTAATACTAAAATTCATGGTGTGAGATAGAGTTTTACGTTTTTCAAAGGGAATGTGCAATTTGTGGAGGATTCCATATCTACAACCTTAACGAGTGGAATCCTCTGTCCAAATTACAGGTCCCGCATAGGAATTAACAGTGTGAGCTTCCCTGCGCTGCTCTATACTGTCCTCTACCAATACATGGGTGGACCGCCTCTTGGGGTTCAAAGTTTGTGCTCATGCTCATTCTGTCTCTGCAGAACTGCCAATGTGGGGGGTTGTACTTTCAATGAGGATGGCCCTAGACCACTAGAGACAGGTGAAAAGTAAGGGGACACATTCACAAACTTTTTTTTTCCCAATAAATGTTCGCCCATTAGTTCGTGCTGAAATTCCTGAGCAGCTCCCTTATCCCCCTGCACTGTGACCCTTGGGGTTGGGGGCCTACCCAGGGTAGCATGGGAGACAATGAACTCCACATGTTGCAGCTCCACCTCCTGCGCAGGTGAGGAGGAGAAAGGCAGGGAATGGGAGGAGCTTTTGTTCTTCTCTGCCTTGCATTGGCCAACACAGCTAAGCCGACACAGTGGGAAAACAAACTGGTTAATGGTATAGACCAGTACCTGCTTAACCTCCCCTGGAGGGGAGCAAAGGGGGAGCCAGAGATTGAATTGTGACTCTACTGGCTTGCTCCTGGGGTGATGCAGCTATTCACTGCCCCTTACTCTGGGCGGAGACTAAACTCTCAGTCTAGTCCTAAATATATTATTTTGAAACCATGACAACAGGTTTCTTCCCTAAAATACCTCCTCCATTCCCCTTGCCAAATATCTTCCCGCAAGGTGCCTGAAAGCCTTCTTGCCTTTGTTTCTCTTCTGTCTTCCTTGTTCATTGCTGGGCCTGAAAAGTATCGACATCTGTCATAGGTCGGGCACTCCCCACCTATTGCACAGGGCATCCATTCTGCACCATCTCCTCAGTGATCAGAGAAGGAGGAAACACATTAGGAGTGTGTGACCCTGAGAGCTTCCCAGTGTCAGAGAGCAAGGGCACGGTGGTCTCAGGTAATGAGTTTCAGCTGGCCAGACCAGGTCAGTGTGCCCCGACTTACTTACGTCATAATCTGTATCTAATGGATGTCATGTCCAATGTCATTGGAAAACTAATAACTCACTGAGCCTTGGTATTCTTGTGTGATGTACATATGGGGTATGTATTAAGAGTTAGGGATATATGCTGGAATTATGACTAAAATGTATTTAAACCAGGCATGTCAAGGGAAGTTGGTAAAGAGGTCTGCCCTAGGCAAAGGAATGTTTATTTGCTTCTTTGGCCAGCCCGGTCATCAAGCAAAGACAAGGAAGGTCCATTTACATATTAGGTAAACAAAGTGATCAAGCTAACAAGCGAGGGAGGAGACAGCTTCCAGTAGGGAAATGAAACTTTATCTGGGCTTTAAAGAGAGAGGGTCTGAACGTCAGGTGATAAGCAATTGAATCAACTGATTACTGTGTTATAAAAGTGTATCAAGTCAGTTCTTTTCTGAAAACTAATGACACACTAGTGATTAATTCATTGTGAAATGCATGTATTAGCACTGTATCTGGAACTGTGAATACTCACTGATATTGGGCTTTACAGTCTGTGACCAAACAAAGGGAGAAACAGGTTTCACTCAGACAGGAAGGAAGGCAGCTATCTAACTGTCTCCAATGAAATTAAGCAAGGTGTGACCAAAAACAATGGAAGTTTCATTTACATGCAAATCAGTGTGGGGATGGGAAGATCACAGGAAGGGAAGAACAGCATGAGGTCATCCTACCTCCTGAAACAAGATCATTGAACTTTGGAAGATACAAGCAGACACAGAAAGCCATGCTGGCATCCAGCATAAGACAGACATAAGGGAACAGAGCTGAGAAAGATTGGTCCTTCAGCCGAGGGGGACTGAAGTCTCTGGAAACTGAATATAGGTGAGAAACCTGCTTAGGCAAAGATCTTTCACCTAGGAAGACAAGGGAAACCAGCCCCTTCTGTTTCTGTGGAAGGTCCTGACTGAGAGAAAGGCAGCCATGACTGGAAAGAAGAAAGACTGGTAAGAAATCAATCTTGAACAAAGACTGTAGCTTGTTAAGTCTTAGCTATTACAAAGGATATTTTCTATTGTTTTACTTGTAACTGTTTCTATTTTCATTCCTTATATGTGAACTCACTTAATCCTATGTATATTTGTTAATAAATTGGTTTTATTTTTCTATAAACGAACTCAGTGCTGTGTTTTCAGGGAAGGGTGGGGTATTTACCCCAGTTAAGTTAACAACCTGTAAAGTGCTTTTGTCTAGGGATGGACACTTCAGGGCAGACAGTTTTGGGGAAATTCGGGACTGGGAATGTGTTGGGGTCACCCTGCTGGTTGTAACCAAGGCTGGTGGAAGCCAGAGCGGGGCTGTAGACAAACTGCTGGGGTCAGAGCTGCCTAGCACACAGACACTCAGGGCTGGTCTACACTGGGAACTTACATTGCATAGCTACGTTTCTCAGATATAGAAGCTCTAGGTCAACAGAAGAATTCTTCCATCAACCGAGCTACTGCCTCTGGAGAGGAGAATTACCTTCGTTGACAGGAGAACACCTCCCGTCAGCATAGGTAGTGTCTACACTGAAGTGCTACAGTGGCGCAGCTGCACTGCTGTAGTGGTTTAAGTGTAGACATACCCTTAGCGTGTCACCTGCATGCTTGCAGGCTGGCTGTGAGCATCCCAGCTCGGAAGGTATAGCAGCAAAGCACTGTAAGGCACGCCAGGTTGCAGGGTAAGTGCTGACACAGCCCTTTACTAGTCTGAACTGCACCACCAGAAGAGTGACCAAGTATAAACTAATAAATAGAGAGCCTTCTCCACAAAGAGGCTAAACCACTGCAATCCCCACTGATGCGCATAGGATTTGCAGGATTAGACCATAAAACAATATCGCCCTTTTTCTTAGTTGCAGCTGAACAGCCTACAGAATCTTCCTCATGAACAAAAAGTAAAAGGCACAAAACCATGTACCTAAGAATGTATCAGCAAGGCTGTTGGACTGCAGAGCCAGTGCTGTTCTGAACCCTTTACTGTCTGATGGGATGATCGTAGACTGGCATACAAAAGTTCCCACCAAGCTTGAAGAGTCTTCTGATTCAGCTACCATGTCCTTTACTGTGACATCTGTTATATTGTCTGTGCAAATCGCCATCTTCTTTCCCTATGGATATTAAACGAGTAAGGGAAGATGTTAACTTCTGGCAGGATTTGCAGCCTTGTGAGGGAGGGGATGCAAACATAGAGGGTGCTGATTCCCCATTAGCAATGGTCATCAAGAAAGAGAAAACATGCAACATTACTTTGCCATCATGAAGCTTTCAATTAAATTCTGGTGCAAATTCTGAAACAGCCAGTCACCTACCCGCTGTGCATTCCCATATGTACTATCCAGAACCTATGATACTAAGCACCTTTATTTGTTTATCTTGACAACATGGTGTTTATTTGCAAAGCATAATAAAATGCCTTGTAAAAGAAAAGCGTTTTCCCCTTAACCATATAATGATACACTAAAGTACCTCATTATCTGGGGTTTAATCCGGAAAAGCTGTTCTCTGAAAGAGTATAAATGCATGCAAAGCATAAATGCATGTATATTAGGTTCTAGCCCACAAGCCTGCATTAGTGTCTCATGGAGTCATACATATCCTTCCATGCAGACCTACAGTAAAATTTTAGAGCAACAGCAACAAAGGACAAAGCAATTTACTCATCAAGGGCCCAATTCTGCAAGCTAATGAGCACTCCATGTTCCCGATCCAGCAATGCACTTAAGCACAGGCTTAACTCAAAGCAGGTGTGTCACTCCAAGCTGATGGGACTACTCACCTGCTTAATGTCACACCGGTGCTTACATGAAGAAAGAAGTCAACAGCAAAGAGTCTCAGCTGCTAGCTCAGCGGCACGCCACGTTAGCAGCCGAAAACTCGGGTTTATGACTGGATTTAGGAGACACCCCCCAGCGTGAGAGCAAAGGAAAAATCAGTGAAGCTACGGAGTCAGCAAGCTCCATTTCTGTGTATCAATTCAGCCTTTAGCACGCCTGTGCCCTCGCCGGAGAATCATTCTGCCATATACAGCAGCCTCACTCGGGGCTGGATTCAAAGCCCACTGGAAAGTGCTTGTGCTATGCAGGGCCCATTTCTGTAAGTAGCTGAGGGAGCCAAGGACCGTTAGCACCACCCAAGATCAAGTCCCAACTGACCAGTGGGGTACTGCAACGTATCAATGTCAGGAAATGCAAACGCCGAGTGTAAGGCTACACCCCGCCCGCCTGCAAAAGCCACCACTCACCTCATTCCCACACAGGCTGATGTTAAAGAAATGAAAGAACTTTGTCCCTTTGGATGTAAAGCTGGGTCCATTCATTAATGACCCCACCCCGCTGAGGTTGGTAAAGTCATAATTCAGGGTCTGGTTGTCCCTGAGGTAAGAGAGCGTGCAGTCACTGAAGCAGGCAGAATGGTCCTTTGGGAAGGAGAGAAGGTAAATATTACAGGACAGCTACTGACCCCAACAACTCCCCTTCCTCTGCTAAAAGTAAAGGGAGAGTCCCTCCTATCTCCCTGGCTCACATCTTCCCTCTCCTAGGTTGGTGAGGTGAGAGCTCCCACTCCTGTTCCAAACTATTTTAACCACAGTTTATATCTGCTGCAGGCTACCACCACTATATCGCAATCTGACGTGAGTCTAGAATTCCAGTCAGCAGAGGGCATTGGCAAGTGTATGTAACCCCAATTAATCCAGTGTTGGTCTTTGTCCCCTACTGTAGCTAGATAACATATAGCAGTTTACGAGTCCATTACTACATTTTCACTAATGGATCTCGTGCTTTCAGTCAGCCAGTAGAAGCTTGGGCTTTTGGATCCCAACGTCCTGGGTTCGATCCCTGCAGATGGACTAGACGGGGGTTTCGTTGCACAGAAACACAACTATAGCCTATCATCACATGTTTACAAACAGAAGTTACACCAGGGATGAATTTCGAGCTATGAAACATTGGTTTTAACTACACTGCAGGACAAGCAACCTGGTGGCATTTCTACAGTGAAGCAGTAAGACCTGCCCCTAGAGTGCTTATACTACAACCTCCCATCTCTGCCTTTAGTCAGGGTTAAAACCACTTTCAATCTCTGTACCTTGTTGCTTTTACTGCCAGGCCCACATGGGATACAAGACTCTTTGCCGTACACCTGATGTATGGACAGATATGTGTTGGCTGGGCACTCCTTGCATTGGTTGGTTTCCTTCTCAATGTAGTGTCCAGCAGGACAGGGTACGCAGGATGACGCAGACTGTTCAGACCCCAGTGCGCAGGCCCGGCAAGACGAGGCAACTCCATCCAACACATTGGTCACTGTTATCGAGTAGATCTTTGCCACGTCGTGTATGAATTGCCTGCTCTGAAACAAGTGCAGGAGAAATAACCCCAGAGCTACTTTCGAGTCACACGTTAAATACTTCACCTACAGTATAGCACAATCAGAATCCGGAATGCTCATCTTCTGTGAAATAGGGCCCCAAATATGGGAACACATTTAAGTATGTAGTTAGCTTTAAACATGTGTGTCACAGGGTGGGATGGCCCGTTAAGGGAGTTGGGCTTAGCCCCTATCTGTGACTAATAAGCTGTGGCTCAGGTGATGGGGCTGAGGCAAGGGATCAGGGGATAGGAACAGGTGACTTGCAGACTAAGATAAAAGGCCAACAAGCAGCTTAGTTGAGCATGGCACCAGTGATACCTGCTCTTCCAGGAGAGCCTGGGTCAGGGGAAGGGGCCTATTTTGTCTGTTTTGATTTAGGTTTAACTGGTTTGATTTGGAAAATGAAACTTAACCCTGAAGTAAAGGGACTGAAATCGTTCTGTTGTTGAGAATGTTATTTAATGCACTGGTTGGTGTGTTTACCCACTGGTTTACAATGGGCCTAAGTCCCATTGACTTTAATGGCACTTGAGCACTTGCTTAAGATGCTTTTCTGAATAGTGATTTGGTGAGTTCACATTTAACAGATGGGGAAACCGAGGCAGGAAGGTTCGCTGCCCAAGGTTACAGGAAGAGACAACTTCACAGCAATGACTAAAACTCAGACTAATAGTGTGTGCTCAGACCATTCCTCAACTGACAAATGCCTAAAACTCCTAGCCATTCTCCACCTCCACCTCATTCTAGATTACCAAGTTCACAGCCTGTAGTATTGCAAGTCTGTTTTCATCTGAAGTCCTTAACATTGGTTTCTAACAGCATATGATTACCAGCACCTGACTGGTCTAAATGTAATTCCTAAATTCACATCTAAGGGATAAGATCATACCTGAAATGAATTGTTTAGCTAAATCATGTGTTGAGGCTGAAGAAAAGGGGAATGTAATTAGGCAAGGGAGTATCTTTTTTTTTTAAAACTGTTTAAAAAAAAATGTGTAGTGACTTTTGTGCTGGGTTGACAGACCTGGTGGCTAAGTCCTTTTTTTTAAATTAATTAATGGAGATATCCCATCTCCTAGAACTGGAAGGGACCTTGAAAGGTCATTGAGTTCAGCCCCCTGCCTTCACTAGCAGGACCAAGTACTGATTTTGCCCCAGATCCCCAAGTGGCCCCCTCAAGGATTGAACTCACAAGCTTGGGTTTAGCAGGCCAACGCTCAAACCACTTGAGCTATCTCTCCCCCCCCAAAAGGCAGCAGCCAGGCATGATTGCTCACAATCACATCACCAAGGTACCCGCTGGAGACCTAGTCTCCATGTTGAGTCAGTCCTATCTCTACTGAGATCACTGACCCTGGTGCCAACTTGGTGATAGGGGCTTTGTGTCTACTAAGAACCGCTTTACCAATTCATTTCACATAAGCTACCAAGCAGTCATTTGATGGTGATGACTTGGTCTTAATTCCAACACTGCATGTTTATTCTGTATTATAAATGAAACAATGTATATTTGGTACAGAAGTGGTCCTTAACTAGTCAATATGGTCTGCAAAAGCCGCTATAATGACAGTGGAGCAATCTGCTGGTGTCCTACATGCAGGAGTCGGGATTAGAAGAGAGAGCAGAAAACTATGGCACTTAACTGCCCCTTACAATATTTTCTGGACTGAGCAGGCCTTCATGCTTAATTGAATAACAAAGGAACAGCGTCTCTTGGTTTGTGGTGGAGTAGATGAATGTGCGAGCCTTTTGCTTTCAAAGATCTTGGGATTTGTCTCAAGCCCCTGATGCTATACTTGGTGCCCTCCAACTAGCTCCAAGAGGCATGTGCCTAATATTACAAAACCAGCACAGAATTTGTAACACACCAGCATGAATGGCAGTCTCTGCTGAGCAGAGCTCCAGGGTTGCAATGGTAGATTAACAGTGTTGTGTGTGCAGGTTAGCACTGCACATGCCCACGTTTATGGTTGACTGCTGTCACTCCTTCAGTTCTCACAATTACTAAAATCTAACCAAAAATGTAGGAAAAGGACATTGAAATGAAAATTGTGGGAGAAATGCCTCAGTGTAGATTATACAAAGAGATGGAAATGCTGCCTGGGACACTGGGCACCAGGCCACAATCAGTGAAACTATTTTGAAAACCCAAAAAGAAGAACTATTGGCAGAGGAAGTCTCAATACCAGTTGGCTTATGAACGTGAGACAAGATATGGTGTTACAGTGCCTCATTACTCCAGAATTACCTATAAAGAACACAGGAAAACACAGAGATAAATACAAAATGAAATCTTCCTTGGGGTGTCCTCAACGAAGACGTTTGTTCAATGGGCTGAGTTTGGTGGAAGAGATGAACCAACTATTAACACATAACCTGTGTTGAAGAAAAGCATTGTGCTACCTTCAGAGGTTAATCTATGCAAGGGGAGTTCATCTGTATATAAAGATTGCCTCCTAACGCTGCCAGGGTTAAGGAGACCTTGGGTTAAGTGCAATGTAGATGCTGCTCACACAAGTTAGAGCTTCCCCAACGTGCCTCTAAACCTGATAAAGCCAAAAGCCCCAATTTCAGCCAAGTTCTTAAGCAGATGCCTAATTTCAAGCACGAGAACAGTTGCACAGACAATTCTTTCACACTTTTTCCAATGGAGCTGCTCCCAAGGTCAAAGCTAGGTATGTGCTTAAGTACCTTGCTGAATCATGGCCCAAATGCAAGGTGCTGAGAAAGACATAACAGGATGGACAATGTACAAGTGCAAGCACAGGAAGCTTATGCTTGTAACATTTTCTGTCTCCTCAGTTTCCCAAGTCAGCATTTTTCATGTCACTCTCTACCATTATTAAAACAAGACAACACCTACTTTGTGTCAGATGGAAGCAAATTTGGATCTGAAATGAGGGACATCTCTTCCAATAAGGGGGAGTCAATTGGATCAACCACCTTTTTTGGAGATCGCCCAAGATCTTTTACTTTTAGAAATTTACTCAACTTTTCCAGCTCCTCGCTATTTTCTGTCATTTCTTCCTTTTTACCCATCCACTTTCCATCTCCCTACTCAGCCACTATTGGAAGTCTGATATATCCACAACCACAAATCCAGATGGCAGAAAGTGGCAGTTAAGTTGGACAGGAGGTCTACCATCTGCCACTTCCTCTATAAATGAACTGAGAAACAAGCTGGAGTGGACTGGGAATTCTGGGCACTTCAAGCAAATGTCAAGAGGAGGCTATGTTGTTAAAAAAGCAAGCATCTAATACTTACATCTTGGCCCTGGTTTGTCCTCTGGAAGGCCCATGTGAATGTGAAGGAAGCATTTTTGGAGATAATGTGAGTGTAAGATTGTTTCTCCTTCGTCTTGCCCCAGGATTCCACCACATTCGTGTTTTTTCTATTAATATCCTAAAAATGTACATAGTAGAATTAACAATACTGTGGAATGAAGCTGTGAAATATTAAATGCCAGTGTGTTACAGAAATAGCTATGAGGCCTTAGCGACTCCCCAGACTTACACAGTGGGTGAGTGGCAGAATCAGGAATAGAACTCAACTTTTCTGAGTGCAATTCCCATGCCCTGTATCCTGAACCATGATACTACTATACTTGAGAGGTCAAAATCCTGATCATATTGTAGTCAATGGGAGTTTTGCCAATGGATTGAATGATGCAGAATTTAGTCCTTTGTTGTATTCTTTTAAAATAATCAGATAGCAGAAAAGAACAGGATCATTACCATGAGTGATGGAGAAGCCCTGCTAGAGCATCAGATAAACACCCCTACAAGGGCACTGCAGATATTAAACTAATGCCACACTTACTCTTAGTAATAATAAACCTAGCGCAGGTAATTCATGCCCATATACAACTATGAAAGAGATATGTGGAAGACCAAGATCATATCCCTCCGCCATACAGATCGAGGTCTCACTTACCACCATAAAGTACATCACGCAATCTGCTGAACAGATGGTCTCAAAAATAAAAGAAATCCGTCCTAGTTCTGACCCGGTTGCTCCTGTCACCGATGTTGGAGGTCTGTTTAACAGACAGGAAATGAAATATTGAACAGGTGCTCTAAGGACACCTAGCAGTCAATTATGCCAATTGGTTTTTTAATCAACAAGAGAGGTGAAGAAATTCACTCGCATGAAACCTGTCCTAATGTAACCGGTTTTTGTACCGGTATCACTACTTCAGTTCGGGGGGAGGGGTGTGTGTGTGTGTGATTTTTTATTATTTTTTTACAATGAACATACAGTTTTACCTGTCTGGATCCCTGGGACAGTCCAGTCAGCTGTCAGGGCTCTTCAGGCCTAATGCCTGGGGTGCCCTCTCCAGCCCAGTCTCTATTCAAGCAAAAAAGCATTTGCAGGTTTCCAAGCAGGCTCAGTTAGTGTCTCTCATTGGGCCCCTTTGCACTGGCTTCCTGCCCAGCCACTGCTGCTCCCTATAAGTCCCATGCAGATCCGCACCCAGCTGTGAGGTCTGGCAGCTACCGCCTGTTCCACGTGCAGCTCTGTCCACAATTCCTGCGGCTTCTCTCCAGCTTCCTGCTGCCACGTGGCTCCCACCTCCAAACAGAGGTTGGCCACTTCCCCTTTCGGACCTTCCTCCGTGCCTGGCCAGGGGAAGGGGAAAGTGCACGGGGAGGAGGCTGATGGGATACATAATCCCTGTATAGCCAGGAGAAAGGAGATGTACGGTGGGGAGGGGGCTGATGGGAGTTGTAGTCCCCTGGTTTGCAAATCCATCACCTGTTCAACAACAACTTTCTTCCTAGTGAAGGCAAGACCCTAGTCAAGGAGAGCTGACTGAGCATGTCAGAGAGGACACACACACACATTCAGAGTCACTGTGATCTCTCTCTTAGAGACCTTTCTTGTTTGTTGTCATCCCTTATTCTAAAATAAAAGTCAGCCATATGGCTGCGCGTTGTGTATGGGAATACATCATACCGCTGACTTCAGTAGGATTGCTTACGTAAGTAAGCTCTGCAGGGTCACAACCTAAGGCCGGATTCAGATCTCATTGGTTTGACTTCAATGGAATTGCACCTGATTTGCTCCAGCCTAAGTGAAAGCACAATATGGCCCTTAGCTGCTGGCCAAGGCCCTGATCCTGTTATCCTGTGCAATGACTTCACTCCATACAGCTGTAAGAAGCAGCCTGATTGCAGATTCAAGACTTATGTTGTCAACAGTCCCAATCACAATAAAATACTGGATAATGAGTTACTTATGGATGATGTAGTACTGGAGAATCAGGCTTGGTCTATGCTACCACTTACATCGGTATAAGTCATGTCACTCAGGAGTATGAATAAGCCATCCCTTTGAACAACAAAAGTTACACCAAGCTAAGTACTGGAGTGGACAGCGCTATGTTGGCAGGAGAGCTTCTTCCACTGACATAACTCCCGCCTCTCGTGGAGGAGGATTTATTATGCTAATGGGAGAGCTCTCTCCTGTCAGCATAGAGCATCTTCACCAGATGCACTACAGCAGCACAGCTGCATCGGTGCAGCTGTATCGCTTCTAGTGTAGACTAGCCCATAGTAACTTTCTTTCCATTGTATTCCAAGCATGAGCCAACGTGAAACAGGTACAAGAGGAAAAAATACAAGAAAAATTGACAAAGAAACTAGGTTCCTTACTTAAATCCTGGGATATGCAGGTTCAGGATAAGATAATCATTGTCAGAGCCCCCTGCCCCACTCTGGATGTGATCACCAGCCACCTCCCAGCCTGCAAAGGAAAGGACATTTTTTGTACAAGAAACAGTCAGTTTATTTAAATATGCAAGTCTCTCTATATAATGTACTTTTCAAAATTTAGTAAATTATTTAAAAAATATCTTTAGACTAAATTGTAAAGTCCTAATAAACTGTTTTAAGAATGGCTGTACTGGGTCAGTCCAATGGTCCATCTAGCCCAGTATCCTGTCTTCCAGCAATGGCCAGTGCCAGGTGTTTCAGAGAAAATGAACAGAACTGGGCAGTTATCGAATGATACATCCCCTGTTGTCCAGTTCCAGCTTCTGACAGTCAGAAAGTTAGAGACCCCCACAGCATGGGGGTGCATCCCTGACCATCTGGGCTAATAGACACTGATGGACCTATCCTCCATGAACTTATCTAATTCTTTTTTTTTTTTTAAACTACACTTATACTTTTGGCCTTCACATCCCCTCGCAACGAATTCCACTGTTTGAGTGAGCATTGTGGGAAGAAGAAGTACTTCCTTATGTTTGTTTTAAACCTGCTGCATATTAAGTTTATTGGGTGACCCATGATTCTTGTGTTATGTGAAAAGGTAAATAACACTTCCCTATTCACTTTCTCTGCACCATTCATGATTTTATAAACCTCTATCATATCCCGCCCCCCCCAGTCATCTCTTCTCTAAGCTGAACAGTTCCAGTCTTTTTAATCAGTCCTTGTATGGAACAGCTTCCATATCCGTAATCAATTGTGTTGCCCTTCTCTATAGCTTTTTCAAGTCTAATATTTCTTCTTTGAATTGGGGTAATCAGAACTGTATGCAGTTTTCAAGGTGTGGAGGATTTATATAGTGGCATTATGATATTTTCTGTCTTATTATATATCTCTTTCCTCATGGCTCTTAACATTCTGTTATGCTTTTTGACTGCTGCTGCACACTGAGCAGATGTTTTCAGAGAACTATCCACGATGACTCCAAGATTTTTTTTTTTTGGAGTGGTAATAGCCCATCATTCTCTTGCATCTCCTGGAAGTTAGCTATTAATTGTCAATTTCACAGGCAAATATTACCATGAAGTCATGATTTATCAAAGCAACTGAAATTCTATGGAGTGGGACATACAAGAGGTCTGACTACTTGATCATAATGTCCTTCTGTCCTTAAAAATCTACAAATCTGTGGAAGTCCATCCCTATTCAGCAAAGCACGTAAGCACTTGAAGTTAAGTCTGTGTTTTGCTGAATCAAGGGCTGAATTACATCATCCTAGCAGTTTTAGCATGTAAAATAGAGAACAGTTGTTCACCAGGATCCTTATACAGAACAAGAACAATTCTTCATAGGCACTAATAGAAGGATGGGTTGGAAAATTTTTGAACAAGAATATTTTCATAGGGGTTCTGTGATGGCTCTCTGCTGCCATCTCAGCGCACATGCAGGGAGACTGCTTTGAAGGCACTAGGCTGGCTTGATGCAAAGATTGAAAACTTTGTATGTTTTCAAAAACACTAATAAAATGTCCTTGAAAGTCACAATGATCATGAAGACACAAATGGAAAGAACCAAAAATAGAACTCGGAGAGGACTTTTTTTCTAATATAGACCTTTAGATGCATAACAGTGTACTATGGGCCAGATTCTCAGCTGGTATAAATCGGTGTAGCTCCAGGGAAGTCAACGGAGCCAAAACGTTTACACCAGTTGAGGACATTTATTTTCTCCTTTTTGGTATTCAACAAGTTTTATATCTATTAGAGGTATCAAATCCTTGTGCAGTGAGAGGACGAAAAGGAGCTGCATGTTGGGATGAACTGCATAAAGCACATATATTCACTGGGATAGGCACTCAAATACTATGGTGAGTGGCACCCATGAAAGACAGACAAGTAATAAGATAGAAAGACCGGCTCACCATTCATTCCATCACACTTTGAATTGCCAACATTAAAACAAGAAGTCTTCATATTGACTGGCAGAACGTTCCACCATTTATATTCAAGCCCGAGAGCTGGTTCAGTCCCAGCAGGGCAGGCCTTGCATTCTACGGGAAGAGAAAGGCAGAAAAAGAAAATTACACACAATAAGTGAATATCAAACACAGCGCTTTAAAAAACTCCATAACCCTTAGCGTTTCATTCAGGGCAGCTGTGAGCAAATCTGAAGACAGTTCAAAAGAAACAATTAAGCCCTTTAAAAATGAACAGCCAATGATCACACAGAATCAGACCTGCAGAACTTTCTCCCAGCTGGAATGACAGAGGCCTCACTGCGGATACTTTGAATCAGATCAGCTGGACTAATGAACTGTAGGGAACAAATAGGCACCAGCAGAGGGATGGACTAGATGGAATGTTTTGTCTGGAATGGTTCTGATTCCATTCTCAGAGAGTTTAAAAATAACTTTAAATATGTGCATACCAGCCAAGAGACATATCCGGGAGACATCACAGTAAATAACGGCAGCAATACATTATAACAAAGCATTCTGGGGATCAACTGGGACATTCCTGTTCTTCATGTTCTCCATCTCTCCCTCCCTTCCCCAATCCTGCTCCGATGTCATTTAACCAATATCTATTTTACAGACCAGAACACTGACTGACAGGGACATGTCACAGAAATGTAGACCACACACAAACAAGTGACAGCCTCCAGAAAAACAAGCAAAGTCTGTAGGCGTCTAACTGCCATAAGTTATTGAGATGGTGTATTCACCAGATAATAGACCTCATACCCTTTGTTCCATCCGAAATCATGCCCTGAGGGCAAGGAGAGCAGGAAGATGATCCATTGTTGTAAAACCCAGGGTTGCATGGTGGACAATCCTTCTTCTCTCCAGAAGGAGGCAGTTTCAACGCACCAGGAAGATCCTCCCTGCAGATTTTAGGCTCTATCCATTTGTACATTATCTGAGTCTGAAATTGAAAAGTATTTGAGTCACACATTACATTAGATGGCATTAGGACTCAAAGCTGATTAAGTTCCTAATTAATGTTCACCTGAAGGCGCTGGGTGTTTTCGGTGGGACCCAGACATGACAAAATAAAAACCAATCAGAGAGTTTTGGACAATAATGTTAAGTGAATACAAGGGAGTCATGGGAGGAGAGAGGAGACTGGGGTCACAGATGACTCCAAGATTTTAGGCTATAAGAGCAAAGCAAAGGTTTGACTGTGAAGAGTGTTAGTGGAGTCAGAAACATGGGACAAAGAGGACTTTTTACCTAGGAAAAGGATTCAGTGCCTGAAGCATTCAGTAGCCGCAAGTTATGGTGTAGGCAGGAGCCGAGAGAGTCAAGACAGGCAGATAAAGGAGAGTCTGACAAGGTGGGATGTTATTTTATCATACACACTTGCACACACAGACACTCACACACTTGCACACAAGCTCACACACACCCACACTCATCCCTGGGTCATTTGACAAAACTTCTAGGTTCACACTGCTGAAATCAATCACACAAGGACTACTGCAATCCCCTACGCTAGGCTTCCTGAATCCCTACACTCTAACCTCCAGCAGATCCAGCAGCACAGACTGCTTTCTCATTCCAGTAGCATCACCCCATCCCTCTGTCACCTTCATTAGAAACTCTCCTTGCACTCTCTCCACTCTAATCCCATGATCTCATAGCCTCCTTCTGCCCTACGCTTCTCTGTATCCCCTCCCATAAGTTAGGATTCTTCACCACTGGAAACAGGGGGCCTCTTTTGCACATCTGGAGCTTTCTTCCCCTCCCCCATTTCCTCCTACACATGGAAGCCATCATCTTCCAGCGTGGATGCCTGAAGACAGGAGCCTAAATCCATAGCAAGGCACCAAAATAAGTGACCTGATTTTCAAGAGGACACGCATTTGATTTTATTAATTATTATTTGTTGTTTGTATTGCAGTAGCATGCAAAGGCCCAAATCAAGATCAGCATCCCACTGTGCAAGGTGCTGTACATACACATAAGAATCTACAGCCTTCCTCTGATGAGCTTACAATATAATTTAAAACTAGATGCAAAAAGTGAGTGTAATAAGCAACATGAGGAAAGGACGAGAGTAACAGTAATAATATCGTACAGTTACATAGGCTGTCCAGGTGCACAATTTGATAGCTACAAATCAGTTGAAAATATGTTTCTCTTTTATTAACAAACAAATATCAGTTATCTCCGACTACCATTCCCATCAATACGGGCCTGACCCAAAACCCACTGATATTAGTCAGTCTTTTCAATGTGCTTTGGATCAGGCCTTACTTGGTTGATTTCTTTTAGGCACCGCAGCAGATCTCCATTGACTTCCAGTTGGAACATGTTGGCTTTAAATCACTTTCCCTCTTTAACCAGACTTTAAAAACAAAAACTTTCTATTTTCCCTGAAGCATTTTATTGACTTTTTTCTGTGAAGCGTTTGGGTTACTCTGTATAAAGAACACATACAAAAAATACTTCCTTCCCCTCCCCCATTTTGAAAACGGAGCGTATTTTGAGGCATTTGTATATGAGAACTTCACAAGCTGAACATTATCTCAAGACTTGCCAATACTTTGACTCTCCAATCCTTTCAGTGAACACATGTTTAGAAGGGAAATGAGATCAGGTAGCATGAGCTGCCTTTTCCTGAACCCCCAGGAGTGACTTATGTGCAGTGAAATGTTATTTGTTCATTTGACATACAGCTCAGACTGTGCAATTCGATACCCCATGAGCAGACTTGAGTCCGTGCAAAGCTCAGTTGCCATCCCAAGGGTTCCTAAGGGATAGATCATTGCAGGATTTTGGTTTCAGGATTTCATTAGGCGAGAGGTTCCCAATTTTTTTTTGCTGGGTCCCCCTTCAGAAAGTCACATCCCACCATGCATGCCCCTCCTCTTTTTAAGAAACAGTGTTTCCACAGATGCCTAGGATCAGAAGCCTATCCCGGCCAGGGCACCCTGCTGCTCCCCAGCCCAGGGCACATTCTGGGTATGCAGTCCCAGCAGGACACAGACAGATAGGCTTGAACTCCTTTCCTCATGTCCCTGGGATCCCCAGAATCACTCACAGGCCACAGGCTCCTCTGGCCCCTGGTGCAATCTCCAGCACTCATCTGCAAGAGGCTGTGTGTGCAGGGAAGAACTACCTCCCACATAGGGGGGGGGGCACTTATGTATCAAGCTCTAGAGAGGCGAGCAAACTGGAATGGGCCCCTCCCCATCTCCGACACAGGGAGAGGCCACACCCCCTCCCGCCTCACCTCTCTCCTCCTGTTGCCCCTTGACATTCCTGCATGTACCCCAGAACTTGGCAGTACTGCAGTTAGCCATGTTGTATGTGCAGCCACTGCTAGCTGAAAACCAAACGTCGCATAGCTAGGAATAATCTTAGGCCTTTGTGAGACAAGGTTAGACAGGTGCATACTTGCAGTCTGTTAATTAGAATGGGAGGATGGGATAGAAAGTTATGGAAGAGACGGAGTGGATAATGACCTTGGTTTTAGGTGCCCCTGACATATTGTTGTTATGGCTAGAAATGCTTTGAGATAATGAGTAGTTTGTTGAAATTAGGAGAACTGGTGACGCAGTAGAGGTTATTATGCCGACCCACTAGGAGTCACTGTAGGTTGCGTGTTTTGTTAGAATTAACTATAACAGATTGGGTAAAAGTAAATACCTCACAACAATCCAAGGGAGCTTTTCTTCCAGAAAGGAGCCGACCTCTAAAGAGTGTCCCTGAAAGCCTGGCTGGTGATCACTCAAAACCGTCTCAGGCCGTGGGTAACTATAGCTGGGATGTCCTGAACCTATTGCTTATGTCTGTGTGTGCTTAATATCTAATAAATTGTAGTTTTAGATCAGAGCATGCTTACTTGTATTGATATTTCATCAGACAGAATTGCTGTGTTCCCATTGGTTTATTCCTGACATTGCCTGGAGTGAAACAGTGAAATTTGCTTTGGGTTCTGGAAATCCTGGGTAACAGATTTGGCAAGCCAGCCAGGAGTGGTGGAGAAGAGGGAAGGACTACTACAAGTGGTTTGTTTGTTTTGCAATAGGAGAAGGGGATGGTGGAACAGAGCAGCTCAGATAGTAGGACTGCAGAAGCGTGGGGGTGACAGTGAGTGAGAGAGTAACAGGCTGGAACAGGAAGTGTCTGGATTGAAACAACAGAAAACAGAGAGTGAGGAATCCCATAGTAGAACTCAGGCTGATCACGGGAAATGTCAGAGCCATGTTGGGAGAGCAGAAGGGAGTAGTGATTGCAATCCATGGGAGTCGTAGCCTAAGTGGGAGGAGATGAGTCAGAGGTGGATCTCTGTGTGACGGGTTGAATCACAGAAACCCCCCTGGGGTTGCCAACTGATGCGCCAAGACTACTTCTGCCCCTGCTTTCCCTGCCAATTTGGAACTCCAGAACCCTGCCTGGTTGTGCCAGACACTCTTGCCGACTAAAAACGCAGACCCAGGTCTGAACTATGTCCCACAAACTGCAAGCTTAACTGAAAGCAGCTTAAGAGTTCCTGTCTCCAACACTCAGATGCCTAACTCCCAATGGTGTCCAAACCCCCAATAAATCCGTTTTACCCTGTATAAAGCTTATGCCAGGTAAACTCAAATTGTTCACCCTCTATAGCGCTGATAGAGAGATATGCACAGCTGTTTACCTCCCCCCCCCCCAGATATTAATACATACTCTGGGTTAATTAATAAGTAAAAAGTGTTATTAAATACAAAAAGTAGGATTTAAGTGGTTCCAAGTAATGACAGACAGAACAAAGTAAATTACCAAACAAAATAAAATAAAACATGCAATTCTATGCCTAATACAGTAAGAAAGTGATTACAGATGAAACCTCGCCCTCAGAGATGTTCCAGTAAGCTTATTTTACAAACTAGCCTCCTTCTAGTCTGGGTCCAGCAATCACTCACACCCCCATGGTTACTATCCTTTATTCCAGTTTCTTTCAGGTATCCTCTGGTGGTGAAGAGCCCATCTCTTGAGCCAGCTGAAGACAAAATGGAGGGGTCTCCCAAGGCTTTATATAGTTTCTCCTTGTGGGTCTAAGCCCCTCCCTCCACCTGTATAGAATTACAGCTACAAAATGGAGTTTTGGAGTCACATGGGCAAGTCACATGTCCATGCATGACTCAGAACTTTACAGACCAAGCCATATTCCTGGGAAAGCTCAGATGTGGATTGGCATCTCCGCATTCATTGTTGGCTTAAGTGTTTCTTGATTGGGCACTTACTGAGAATAGTCTTTTCTCAGGAAGCTGACCAACTGCTTCATTGAGGCTACTTAAAATTAAACCAGTACACCAATATTCATAACTGTGAATACAAAAATGACACATGCATATAAATAGGATGAATATATTCAGTGGATCATAACCTTTACAGAGATATGTTACATGGCATATGTAGCATAAAACATATTCCAATTATGTCATATTTACATTCATAAGCATATTTCCATAAAGCATTATGAGGTGCAGCGTCACACCCTCCTCCTGAACTTACTGCCAGAGACTTGGGCACTGTCCACGATGGAGGCAGTACATGTAAAATCCCTGTTTGTCTTTGGTCACACTCCCTTTCAGTACCTTTAAACCATATGATGTCATTCATAGGTGTTCTAGCAAGGTTTGGGATGCCTGGTCCCCTGGTGCCTGAAAACAGGTTGGGGTGTAGTGTTGCTAACAGAATGCAGACAGAAATATTTGTTAAAGTAGAGGTGTCTTGGCATTTAGCCACCAATGCCACGAGGTGGTGTGCCTTGGTTTCCCCTTCTACACAGCAGCATGAGCCTGTTATGCTGTTGCTGCTGTGCCAAGCTTCCAGCCTGTTTAAAGGTATAAGATGAAGGGTAACAGGATTGTGGGACTGTCTTGTCACGATCCCTAGCATGTACAACAGTTTCTTCCACAAATCAGGTATGTCCCA